ACAGTGGCCATTTCCTCGTAGGTTAATGTCGAAATCCCAATGACCCGTTTTAGATGGTGCTTAGTGGACTTTATTCCTGCCTCCCATAAGCCACCGAAATTAGGTGCGTGAGGAGGAATAAAGTGCCACTCAGTACCATTATTCGCGAGCTCACGTGCAGCTCCCACAAAGGTTGTACCGTTGTCGCTGTATAATTCAGCGCACCTACCACGTCTTGCCACAAATCTCTTGAACGCAGCCAGGAAACCCTTTGTGCTTAGCTCACTCACTGCTTCCAAATGCACTGCTCTAGTGGACATGCATACAAATAAGGCAATATAACCTTTATATGATCTATTACCTCGTCCTTTGGACACCCTTATATTTATTGGTCCGGCGTAGTCTACACCGCTGCAGAGAAACGGTTTGTTAGGAGTGATTCGTGCTGAAGGCAACTGACCCATTAATTGAGTCCTAACCTTTGAGTTATACCGAATACATTTGACACATGTCCTTACAAATTTTTTTACTAAGAGTTTAACTCCTAATATCCAGTATCTTGCTCGCAAGTACGTTAACATAGTTTGAGGTCCACCATGCATAGTTTTTGCATGCGCCTCTGCAACTAAAAGATTTGTCAAAAAAGACTCCTTCGGTATCAAAATGTGTCATAATTCAGTTGCGCCATTTCTAACCGACCCCCAACTCTTATAATTCCTTTCGAATCAAGAAATATGTTTAGTGATTTCAGACTTCCCTTTTCACATATCTCATTCTTTCTTAATTCTTCCAATTCTTTGGCGAATCCTTCTTCTTGACTTTTCTTTATACAGACTTCTAATGCTTCATCCAATTCTTGTTTAGTCAGATGCTTTGACCTCACTCCCTGTCTGTTTACCTTTAAAAACCTACGACAATAAGCAGTAACACGAAGCATTCTCTGCAGTGTAGAAAACCGATTCCAGAATGTCACATCCAACGTACATGTATTTACTTTCACTTCTTCTAATCGAGTAATGAGATGTTTTGGCTTCTTATACTCGACTACTTGCTGTCTTAAGAAATCCGGACCACGCCACCATATGGACATGGACTCGAGTTCAGCAGGTGAGACGCCGCGCGATGCACAATCTGCGGGATTGTGTTTTGTTGACACATGAGACCAGTGATGTGTCCAAAATATTTAAAATATCGGAAACCCGATTGGCCACAAAGGTCTTCCACCGACTAGGGTGGCTGCTGAGCCAGGCTAGAACTACTTCACTGTCAGTCCATGCGTGCCAGTCAACTTTCTGGATACCCAATACTTCGCCTACTTCAGAGATCAATTTGGCTAGAAGCACAGCTCCACAAAGTTCTAGTTTTGGAATAGACACTTGTCTAATAGGTGCAACCTTTGTCTTAGTCGAAACTAAGGAAATGTACACGTTCCCTTCTTGATCCACAACTCTTAGGTACACAACAGCTGCGTATGCCATTTTTGATGCGTCAGAAAAACCGTGCAATTCAGCTACAATGTTTTTACCTTCATGGCGCATCCATCGTGGGATCCTAATACTCATCAGGGAAGTTAAGCTGTTATGGTAAGTCACCCATTCTTTTAATAAATTACTTGGAATTGCTTGATCCCATTCCAATCCTGCAAGCCACAACCTTTGAATAAATATCTTAGCTTGAATAATACTAGGTGCTAACCAACCTAGGGGATCAAACAATCTTGAAATCTCCGAAATAACTTTCCTTTTTGTTACAGGTGCTGTCATCGGTCGAAGTTCCACAGTGTACTGGAAGACATCTTCGCTCGAGTTCCAGGTAAGTCCCAGTATTTTGGTAATATCATCTAGTTGTATCTTCAATTCTTCTGTGATACCCTTTCCGACCATATTTTTTTTTAATAATTCTTGACTGTTACTCCTCCATTTTTGTAATGGGAAACCACCTTTTTTCAATATTTCCTTCAACTTAATATAAATTTTGCAACAGTCTTCTATATTTTCAGCTCCTGTCATTACGTCATCCATGTAGAAGTCTTCTAAAATTATTTTAGCTATTCCAGGTTCTTCACAGCATTCATCGTAGGCCAGCTGCTGAAGAGCCCGTACAGCCAAATATGGTGCCGACGCAGTGCCGAAGGTAACAGTTTCCAATTGATATTCTTCAATGTCTTTTTCAGGATCATCGCGCCAGAGAATACGTTGGAGTATTGCATCATTCTCGTGTACCAGGACTTGACGATACATTTTGACAATGTCTGCTACTAGACATATGCGATGTGTCCTCCATCGTATAATAGTATGGCGAAGATCTGCCTGCAAGGTAGGGCCGACTAACATGGTGTCATTCAGTGAGATCCCCTTCGATCCTTTGCAGGAGGCATCGAATACAACGCGAACTTTGGACGTTTCCTTATCCTCCCGGACAACGGCGTGATGAGGTAAGTAGATTGCCCTTTGATTGTTATATTCTACTTCTGGTACTTTTTTCATATGATTCATCTGTAAGTACTCATTAATAACTTTAACATACTCCTCTTTAAATGCATCATTTTTCTTAAATTTTAACTCTAACCCTTTAAATCTTTTTTCAGCAATGCTCCTTGTCTCACCAACCGCACTGGCCGGGTCCTCATCGCGTAAAGGTAGTCTTACGATGTATCTACCATTACCGTCGCGTTTCGTCATGGCTGTAAATAACTGCTCGCATTTATTTTCCTCTTCTGTAAGCATTTTCTTTCTAGGAGGTTCTGCTTCCAGTTCCCAAAATTTTTTAAGCATGTCATCCGCTTCGAGACTTGTATGCATTACAGAAATATGTGATGAATTAGTTGCCTGGTCCACGTCAAAGGTACCTGACAATATCCACCCTAATTTAGTATCCTGGGCTAATAGTGTCCCAGTTACATTCTTTTTAATGTCTTCCTGGATGACTTGGCTGTAGACTTCAGCACCTAATAAAATATCAATTTTATTGGGCCTGTAATATTCTGGATCAGCTAAGTCATCATCAGTCAAGTCTACCCAATCTACCCTGGTTACTTTCGTAGCCGGGAGAAGAGCTGTGACCGACTTCAGGACGAATGCATTAACCCTAATGACAACACTGGGGTCTATTCTAGACCTTAATGTAAGAAGTACGCTGGACTTGGCCGTAGTACTTTTGTCCCCACCTACACCTATCACAACTTGTTTTGAAGGTGTTTTATGTAACCCTAAATATTGGACCGTAGATTCTGTTACAAACGAACCTTGTGATCCTTGATCGAGCAAAGCCCTAACAACCCTATAGGATCCGTCTTTCGACTCCACTTTAATCAAAGCGGTAGTTAATAAAACCGTTTTCCGGCTAGTTCCTGTCGAAAGGCACGATACCATTGGCTTGCTCGATCCCTCCGCTTGCGCGGTCACTACAGCAATACAATTTTTAATGTCATCCTTCGCAGACGTTGTCGCGATTGATGATAATTCCTTGTGAACTGTACTCCTATCTTCACCAATATTGGACCCAGATGCACTTACTGGGTGCAGTAACGAATGGTGGCGGTGTTTACACACCTGGCACTTTAGAGTGTTTTTACAATTTTTTGCAGAGTGGTTGTTGAGTAAACAAATGAAACACAAATTATTTTCTAGAGCAAATTTACGTCGCGCTTCATTCGATTCTTTACTAAATTTCGGACAAGAAGTAATCTTATGATCAGCTGAGCAAAATGTACATAATAGCAATCTTTTTTCTTTTACGACATGAAATGATTGTGTTCCCTTTGGTTGTGGATGTTTTAACTGTTTATGCCTACTATCTTCTATAACTAAATGTTCTAAACCCCTAAAACGGCTATATAAATATTCAGAAAATTGTTCAAATGTAGGTAGCTCGTCACTTGATTCCGATGCAACCTTCAATTCCCACGCTTTTCTAGTCTCTTTATCTAATTTTGCGCTAATTATATGAATCACAATCAGATCCCATGAAGACACATCCACACCCAGATTTTTTATTGCCTCTAAACAGTCTGACGTAGTACTTATCAAACTTTTAATGTCCGTAGCCGATTCCGACACTAAACTCTTTTGACTAAGCAAACGCTTCAAAATGCCGTTGGCTAAAAACCGTTTATTGTTGTACATGTCGTCCAACTTTCTCCACGCAATTTGATAACAATCAGACGACATTTTAATATTTCGCAAAAGCTGCTCAGCCTCTCCAGTCAGATGTCCTCGGAGGTAATAAAACCTTTGAGCATCATCTAAGGCCTTGTTTTCATGCACAAGTCCTAAAAACAAGTCCCTAAACGTCTGCCACTCTGTATAATTCCCAGAGAACATTGGAATTTTAATCTCAGGCAACTTAAAACGTGTACTTGAACTCTGATTTGATACTACAACACTTTGCGTATTTAAATTTAATTTACTTAACATTTCTTTTAAATCAGTCTTATAATCAACATACAACTCTTCTACATCGTCATATATTGCATTTTTGTGGTAGTTCGAACTATACAAATCAGATCTTTTGACTTGACTTATAATTTTAGTATGAGTGTCTGAAAATAAAGTCCATTGTTGCTCTAAGTTATCAAGCCTAGTTTCGACATAAGCAATAGTTAAGCGCTCCCTTGGCGATTTCTTAAAATTGGACTTAGCTTTTAACATTTTAGCTCTAATATCCTCTTGTAAATCGCTAAAGGCTTCCATTTTGTAAAGATAAAATGTCAACAATTATATTGAAAACCAAACAAATTATAATTATTTTAAATTATTTCTAAGTCTAAAGTTGGGACCGAAATCGGGCATAGGTTCCCCGTCAAAACCACTTTTTACTTAAAACTAACACAAGTTCTAACTACGATTTTACAAATTTAAATTTCCTAAGTTAATATTAAATAAATTTTTAAAGTTCTATGTAAATGTTCTATTAATTATTGACTTCTGTCTTCCTGATTATTAATAATTGAAAGTACTTACAGTTTTTCTTCTCAAACCACTCACAGCACGATATTTGCACTTCACTACACTTATAACGATTTAGTGCACCACACAAGTGGCGCCCCCTGCCGGCGCCGCACACAACGCCCGCTGCTTGTAAGCAACACACCAGTGTCGCCCCGCACCTCCCTTGCGCCTTCCTCCGGCTGCTGCTGCTCTCGAGTTGACTGCACCACGCCTGACTCCCAGCTGCTGCACCGGTTCCACCTTCAGCTCCTGGGTACCTCTCACCTGGGTCCCCACTGAAGGGGCTGCTCTGGACAGCGATCCACTGCCCAGTAATGACGCGAAGGGTGGTAATCTCTACCACCACCGGAGACTACCAAAAACACTCGCGACCAATCCGGCTCGAAGGACCATGTACAACTTTTACATAGGGTCCTGATGAACGAGGAGTAAATAATACCACTATATACGAGCGAATAGGGTATATTAAATAACAATAGGTTCACACAAAAATTCAAAATCAAAAAGGGTATACCTTATCAGCGGTAACGAAACCATAGCGCGATCTATCTCGATCCCAACGCCATCTATCGAGCGACGAGACAACATTTGTGCTATTTCACGTTAGACCACATTCCAAATTACATCGATCACGCTATGGCTTCGAGTACAATCCCGAACACCATCTTCATCATCAGGTACACTGGAAGTGCATTGTGTTGTGTGCATTACCGAAGAAAGAACCTTATAAAAAGCAGCATTGGGGTCAATGAAAACTTAAAGTCAAAGTCAAAGTTATTTCAATTAGACCATTACAGGAACTTTGAACTTTAAATAATGATAAAGATAAAAAAATATAGTGTGTCGGATAGTCCTCTTACTGTATTTACCCTTTACGAAATACAGAATACAGTAGAAAAGAACAGCAATGAACTGGTTACTCTTTTTCAGTTTCACAAACAGAGATTCTTTGTCACATTATTAAGTTGGTTGCATTATTTTAGAACAGTGAAACAGTCATATTTAGTCAAAGCGACAGAAAAAGAAAATAACCTTAAGGAAAGCTTGTCATCACATCCTGGACTACCCGTCAATAATTTAAACACTAAGCTTTAAAAGATGAGGCATAGTTAAATATCATTAAGTTTGACATTGTTTACATAGTATTGTATATGATTATATGCACCTTCGATGCCTGAAATAAATAATATTTTAAACATAACACCAATTGACTACGGGAAAGCATTAATTTATTATATTACAGTTTCACCTTTTGTATTTCAGTGTTAATCTACTTACGATGTACCATTTTCTCATTTATCTATTGATCTACGCAGCCATGAGACATTTTTCCTAGCCTACTGCCATTTAGTCTCCATTCAGAGTCGGCTGCTATTTCCCAGATTACTCCAAGTGCACATTATACGGGTAGATAAGAGCTGGTCTCATTATTTCATAGCGAAAGAAAGTTAAGTATAGCATATCATGAGCTTACTCTCATAATTGTGTTGGCTCAATCAGGTTCAATATAGCAACTATGTTAGTGTGTTTGTGCGTATGATTCACTATAAAATATGAAGGCATTCCATTCATTTCAAATACAGATTGAGTGCTGCCTCTTTAGTTTAGCAATTGTGAGTTCAACAACTGAGTGATAGGTTCAAGGACACAGGTTTGCGAAAATAGTTTTTATGTCTTTTCGATTTCAAGACTTATTCATTCGTTTTATCACATGAAAATATAGCATTATTATTATCATCCTCATTAGCCTCGAAATAGGAGTTAAGGTGTTTGAAATAAAAAAACTATGTTTAGCATAGAATACAGTACGTTTAAAATAGCATGCTGCTAGTGGACCACTAACATCATAAATAGATTGTCATAAATAATCAGAACATCTGTATCAAAAACGAATTGATTCAAAATCTTCAGAAGTAATATCTATATTTAGTTGCTGCGAGGGTTGATCACCGTTGTGTATACCGTTGCATTGTCCCACGTGATCATGTAGGTGATCAGTTTGGACAACGGCGTCACCCGTGATATCAGCTCCGATGTCCAAATTACGGTATTTTTGCTGAACACCTATTGTTATTGCCCAAAATATTCAGCATCTAGGTCAGATTGCATCTGGCTGCCGAAATCGGATTATTTTTATTAAAATTAGTTTAATTTATTGGCTATCAGTTGTTCTAAATACTACCGTATAGACGATTAGTTGCAATAGTTGCTCCTTTGTTGAGCAGAATAAAGTATACTTTGATCCTCCATTTCAAAGTTAGTTAAGCACGGGACTGGGCGACGTAGATGTTTATTAGGTCGACATCTCATTGTGATAAACGTCCACGGAAAAACAGCGGAAACAACACGGGTTCTACATTCTTGTTTTGCTCAGAAGTCATGTAACTAGTATCGTTACTGTATCCTTGCAGATGTTTTTAAAGCGTTTTCAGATTTGTGCGAACTCGTCCTCCAAAAGCCTACGTCAGATATTGACTTCAAGGCTATATTTTGAAATCTATAAAGTATTTCTTCGTTAAAGTTACTAGCTAAGCTCCATAACTCTAAAAAAGTCTGCAGAAAATGTAAGGTCGTTTGTGCTTTATTACGGTCTTGTGTATTAGCAGATTATTGCTTGAAGATAACGGCTACTGTCGTCCTAGTAGATAGGAAGTAACAAATTTCAAATTTAATAGTTAAAATGATTTTAATAAGATACGAATTGGAAGTATTGGAACATCAGCTTAATTATATCTAGTACAATAAAGTTGGTTACTGAGGCACTGTGGCGCGTGGGAATTCAGTTTACCCATATCAACACGTAAAATAAAGAGGCTTGTACAAGGTTTCCTTTTTATGATTTTCTTCCTAGTCGCTGATTTGGTCGCATAGTCACAAATACAACTGACGAGTAAGGGCTTTAGACTTTCGAAATTTGGTAGTTTCCTAAGTCAAAAATAAATTAATTCGACGTTTCGATATAATAAAATATTAAAAAATAAAATAACTATACTTTTATTCATCGATCGACCGATATACAAAATTTAAGATATTTTTAGCATATTTTTAAGAAATAAGTACCTTTTTTGACGCAAAAATACTATGACATCATAAATAACTCAGTGTTTCATAGAAATTTCATAGAAAAGTTTTTGACGTTTGGATAAAAGTATTGAATTTGAGTAGTTGGAAACTACCGTATTCTCAGGGAGTCTGTAAGATGATATTATAAGCACCATCTCAGCCACAACGTCATATCAGCAGTAAAAATGTCTTTTAGCTATTAACAAAATGGCTTAATGGAGCCAAGTTGTTAAAAATCGTTCCACTTGACAAGCGGTACCCCCTATTTAAAGCTTCGTGATTGTATGCGTGTGGTAGTAGGCACATTGTCCAGTTACTAAGGAGTTATTCGGACGTGATTTGCCTCGCCACGAGTACAGCTAAGTGTGCCGCGTCGAGAGTGAACACCGGTACTGTTATTCGACGGCCTGACTTTTACTTTTGAAGCTCCCCTCCCCCCCCGTGCGAGGTACAAGAAAATGCTTTAGGCATGCTTTATGTAAACATAGCTTGACTTTGACTTTGAAAAATGATGGCATTGATAGTTCAGTGTTTATGTTGTTATTAGCATAATCCAAGATATTGTTGACGCGTCTTCTAGTTCGACAGTTTTCTAATCATTGTGCAATAATGGTGTATTTTTGGGTTTATCAATGTTTTACACTGTTTCTTTTCTATAACCTGTTGTTAAGTCGTGTTGACATCTGTTGTTATTGACATTTGCTATAGCTCCACAACCTTTGGATTCTCAACTTCGTCAACTGTCGTCATCATCCTAGATTTACCAAGGAAAGCATTTATTTTGTCGACATACATTCAGACATTTGCTCGCTCGGTATTTTGACTATCTGCGTCGTTAATAATATAGACTTAGTATAGATACTTACTAGTATAGTTCTACATTATACTACTAACAAAACTTCTTCAGTGAATTCCTACTTTTACGACCCAAAATTAAATGTAAAATTTCCTTTTCCTAATTCACAATCATTCTATTCTTACCATTTGCATTCCAATTTTCTTAAAATAACGAACAGTTATATTTCTTACTGCAATTATTATTCATGTACTCAGTAGCTTTATAGGTTTACCCTACCATCACATTTCCCTGAGCACCCCACCACGGGCGGAGTAAGGCCCCGTCATAGTTCAGCTGCGTCGCGGATGCAGTGCTTGGTATCGGGGTCACCGGCACACTTTCACGGGCCGGGCCGCAGCCGGGCCGCATTGGGCCCCGTCCCACCGTGCAGCTTCCGGACACCACGTTTAAGGTCGCCTGGTCAAGGTTATGGTTCATGAACGTTGATAGGTCATGTCTGGACGCTTTAGGGGACCAACTAAATGGGAACAATGCTAGTAAGATTCTATATTGTTGTGGCATATGTGTGTTAGTGGTCTATTTAATATACCATTAAAGACAATAACAAATCGTAACACTTTCTTTCTAGGACAATATGACTGTCAAAATATTCAATTAGTCTTGACCTTACAACGATGGCCTCAAACTTCACGCTCCTAGCGACGTAGTGTAGTCTTTCTTTGCAAGTTTTGTGTTAAATAAAACAGCTTGTCACGAAATATCATGTCATGTGCCTAAGTAAGCCATAACTTTTAGAGCGTGTCGTATTTATTATACGCTCTAAAATAAATTTCGGTTGGCAATTTTTTGGGCAATTGAGGGAAATGGGTCAGTTTTGATTCATAACGTTTTGGTGTAGTTTTAATTTCACTTTTGATTGTAACTATTTTAGGTTGCTTTTGTTTATAGATGGAAGACAAAGAGATTATGAACTATTTCATGCTGAGTAAATATAGAGGTGACCTGTGTATATAAACGAATTTTAAGTTTAAGGAAAATTCTTAGAATTGTCGTTGGTCCTGAAGCGTTGACATTAATTTTAAATTAGCACCTCCAAGTTAATCTGTAATACAAATATTTCCGTCCTCGATCAAAATATTATATTGTAGGCTTTTTAACGGAATCGAGTGCTACATAGATGGTTAAATTTGATGTTAATGAATGCTCAGCTAAATAACAGCTCTTAATTATATAACATGATATTGCCAACAGTTGTCAAAAAAATTCCTAATGCTTTTCTGAGACAATATTCGTAATTTAAATTTCAACTTCTTCTACAATAGTCAAAACAACCATTCCAGTATCAAGGTATGGATAAACTAGAAATAATCTATATATTTAGGTGAAAGACAATAGATATGTGGTCATATGTATGTAATTACTTTCCAATCGATTCTAAACATTTTATAGTCTTGTTACTTAAGTGGTTAAGCACAAAATTAACTGATTTATTAACTGACTTGTTCTCAAAACACTGCCCCGCCCAAATTGCTGTCATCAATCATCAGCGGCCAAAATCTGTGACGTCGGCAAAGGTCACGTGGTACAAGACATGAGCGGAGCGATTTTATATTATTTAGTATTGTTTATATTGGGACTTGAAATACTTTGCATTATATGGATGTAGTGCCACATAAAATCCACAGGACAGCGTTCATCTCCCATAAAATGTGGCCATTTATTCTTATTTTGTTCCACTCAATATTCTTAGTTTTTGTCTTATAAAGTTATTTTTAATCAGCGCTTACTAAGTGTGCTATATAAGAGTTGCAAGTATTCAGACTATTCTAATAAATTTTATGAGCAAGCAAGTCCAAATGCTTTGCAATGGATCACCTCCAGTTTTCAGAAATAAAAGAGGTTACTGGAAGCCCAGTTCTTTCTGTACACAGACTTGAAAAGTTTGCCTACACGGATCTTACGCACACCTTAGCTTTTCTTGTGGCTTGGTTTGCAAACACAGTGTCTATAGGACTTCTGAATTGGTTTAATATATTAACTAAAAATCGCGGGTTACTCACGTGTATACATATATTGAGAAAAGCTCTACTAGTTTCCAACCACAGAGGGGTTCTTCCTCATCAGTAGGCTGCGCGACGTCGCCGCGTCAGCGCACGCTGCTCATGAGGAAGAACCCCTTTTGAAGAACTTAATTTAGTATGGTATAATATAGTACACAAATATCCATATAAAAATACTAGACCAATCGGTATCATTGAGATCTCAAAGACCAACTCAGAATATAAAATGTATATTAGTTTGGCATTAAATAGCATATTAACTGTTATAAACTAGTATAATGCTGTCATCAGACACAAATGGAACTATCTGAGGAATCAACAAAACTGTGAGCTGCGGTAGAAAAAAGAGATTTATAGGGCCAATCTTCGACACGAATGGATCGGCTCGACCGGAGTGATACCACGGCGTTGTGAGTCGTCGTGTATGTGTCCTCCCCCAATCCCTAAATCTCTAAAGTAATATGGATGATGACACTAAATAATAATAAAATAAGCCTAGTGATGAATAAAATATGTAATACAATTAATAAATAAGTGAGCTTGTAGCTTGGGCCGCGTGTGGGTCGCGCACAAGTTCAAGTATGAAGGGCAAGGAGCGGCGCGGGCGCATTCGCAAGCATTTCACTTCAAGGCAAAGGTTGCGCTGACCTTTCGCGCACATTGGGGGTGTGACCGGCTTGGAAAAGGATGGGTGGGCGTTAAACATCACCGGAGGCTAGATTTTTTATTGATACAATCATTTTTTTGTTAATTAGAGAAATTTTACTTCCTAAATACTATGGTTATTGGTTTTTATTATGAATATAATATGATTAGTTACAATATATTTGGATGCGAATGTTTTTATTCTTATTTTAATAGAAGTCTATGCGAGAAAAAAGTGTTATTAGGAAAAGCATGTGTATTAACATGTTTTCAAATATGTGCATTTACGTAGGTTAACATAATACAAGATAAAATTGCACTTAAGACAGACAGGCTTACCACTCGTCATAGCCATTTTGGGTAATAACATCTAAAGTATTGGCAAAGCAATCAATTTACAATCACTGATATTTTCAGAATTAATATGAATAGAAATTTAAATTATCGATTTATCAGAATATTAGTTAATGTTTCGCAGTCAAAGTAAAAAAATGAAAAATATAATTTTAACTAAAATATACATAATCATCAAAATATACAAATAAATTAAACCAACTGTTTGTAAAAGGAATCTGTATGTGAAACTGATTTAAAAAGAGTAACCATGGAGTTTCTTGCTCGTTCTTCTCCATCGGAATCTACACTTTGGAACGAGCAAATAGCTTCACTGAGAGGACTGACCGACAGACTGACACGATATCTTCAAAATTTTGTTTTGACGTTCAAAAGTGCCTGTAAAGGTCTAATTTGAATAAATGATTTTTGACTTTGACATATAAAATTTAATGTCAAATAAAATAAAAAAAACTTAATATCGGATGTGCCTTCAATAAAATTCGTTAATTGTAACAATGTGTAAGTGTGGGAGATCCATACTTCGGCACGAATGGATCGACTCGACCGGAGTGATACCACGGCTTCGCAGAAAACCAATATGATAAAGCCGCAGCGTTGTTTCGCCTGTGAGTGCAGTTACCTTAGGTCCAATCCTCCCCAACCAAACCCCTCGTTCTTCAAAACCCTAATCCCCATAAGGTCGGCAACGCCCACGTAACTTCTCCGTTGTTGCATTCATGCAAGCTGACTGCTTACCATCAGGTAATCCTCCTATTCCTGCTCATTTGTGAGCAGGAGAGGAGGAGAAATGAAAGACACTTCCTCCAGAATTATATAGAACCTTCAGCCTCCGGTTATAACTGCTGCTGCTATTGGGAAGCAGAATACATTGTATTAGAAAATGATGAATAGAGTCAAAAACAAAATTTAAACATAATGTTTTAATAGGTTAAGTCACAAACGAGCAAACGGATCAGATATTATCGAAGTGGATAATTCCCACTACAACATTGTTTTTATTCCCAGTTGAAACGTTTTTTACAGTAAGACAATATCTTTTCACGACTGAGAACTGGGACACATGCTCGTATTTTTAGGCATTTTTTTTCTCCCAAAATTCGCTACCGGAATATATTAGCATTTGAATGGTGTTTACTGTTTAATCGACAAACAGCTTACAGAGGGTCGTCAATCCTGCTTGTCTCGTGCTTGGAGTGTGGCGTGATGTTCATTCTCGTCGCGTGGAGTAAACAATGCATGCGCCGCATTTGTATATGGTGCCACTTAATCTTAGGACTTAGGAACATTTTCAGAACTCATACATATCCAAAAATGTAAAAGTAATCGGTTTATTACTGTACTGTTTAGTGTACTAAATTTAAATTTATTAAGTTTCTTCAATTTGGCTGTCGGTTAATAGTGGTTCTGGACTTTGATTTGCTGTGATTCAGATCATGCCGTTATAAGGCCGTAAAATCTTTTTCAAAAGCTGTCTTGGCTGTCTTTTTAAAAGAACTATTTTAAGCGATTGTATTTTCTACTACATAGTTTCTGACTTTTAAATTGCCGAGTTAAAAACAAAAACTATGGAACCATATTATTTTGCAAGAAGCGAAATAAAAATATACAAATACTAATCGTAATTATTTACCCACCATCTCAAGGAAGAGAATTTCGTATTACCTAACTTACTTTAAAAACATAAACGTACTAATTCAATGAAAATAAATTACTGAGGTCGTAAAAATGTCTCAGGTTCATACTTAAGGCGAGCACGTAGTAGTTTGCGGCGGGCGGCGGGCGGTGAAATCAAGCCTCGCTATGTAAGTGGGTTGGTGAAAGAATCTCTCCGGCGCGCGCGCAGCTACCGACAGCAAAAGAAGCCGACCGACCTTGCGTCTATTTTAACAAGATATTATTTTATTATGCATTGAGCTGTAATTCATCCTCAAAATCACGATAAATCAACATTATGTATACTTGTTTTTATATATTGTATATAATAAATAATACAATTGTTTTTTTTTTATTTAAATGAATGTAATATAAATACAAATAATAATTTATTTGTAGCAATAACTAATCAGTACTTATTAATCAGTAATTCACAGTGTAAACGAATTTATCTTGAACCATAAATAATTACCTGTTTAATGCAGTTGATTACTTCAAACTGTCTTATAATTAGGTGGTTCAAATCCACTGCTGCTCGTTAGATAAGATCTTGTTATATTGAGTCTGTACCAAATTTCAAAAAAGTCAGTAAGTAAGCCTTTTTTCGGATGACCTTTCTCTGACCTACATTTCATCAAAAGTTATATAAAAAAATGTTGTTTGAATATGTAATATATATTGGTAAAAAATGTAACAGGATAAAACGGATATAAGTACGTTAATAATGTGAAATATAATTTTATTGCAAAACAATAAGTTATTATTTTTAATAACAACATGTTTTGTCATATTATTACTATATTTTTTATATCTGCCATCAAAATGATTTTCTTATCAGTTGATGTTTATGAAATTATATTTAAAAAAAACGCTGTGAAACTGTGAATGTAGCTTTTGTCCGACAACGTAAAATGTTGACATTGTAATGTTGTCACTCCAACAATCGACACAGATTTGCAAGCGCCGATTATATAAAATATCGATTGGCCACAGACCGACACTAATACCTTAATTAGGTTTGTGTACAATAAAAGTAATTAATTGGTTTCTTAACAACTTTTTTGCTAACCATACTTTACCTATGTGTGCGTGTAGCGACACAGCGATACGTTGACATTTTGCGCGCACGTGTGAGTTATATTCGCACGGCTTTTTACGTTCGTGTGTGTGTTTTCTCTTGTGTGCCCTGCGCAAGAGCACTTGTTGACGCAAAAAGGCAATTTGTCGTTTGTGTGTGCATTATGACAATTTTCACATCCGACTTTCTTCCGAGACGCACGGGAACATTACGTGTGTTGTGTGAACTAAACTTTTAGTTGGATCTTTCACTCGGTGTGTTCACACCTTTGTTTGCTCTGTGGGTGTCTAATGTGACCCACTTTTGTCTCTGCGTGTATTTTTAGAAAATGCTGCCTTTAGTTTTTATGTTCCATTCCATGATCTTATTCAGAACAATTATATCTAATTAATAACTTCGCTCAGCTATTACTTACCAAACATAAACTTACCAAGTCCACAGCATCGTGCAGGAAGGAGGAAAAAAAAAACAAAAAAGTTATCGTTAACAAAAAAAATCTTCATTTATTTTACATTAATTTACAAATTTACTTAAAACTATTGGAAAAAAAAACCTCTTGAAAAATAACATTCGCCGCCTTAAAAGTACGCATAATATTTAATTGTTTTCGTCAACTGTAATCCTTTACAATTAATTAATAATTACAAAAATTATAATTGAAAAATAAATACTTAACGCTAACAATTTATATTCTAACAAAAGGTACTTTTATTAAGTTCTACTCACACACGCTGCGCTTGCGCCGCCGTACGGATTCATTTGTGCGTAATCTCTAATGACATTCATTCATTGAATAAATGAGACGCGATAATTAACATGCAATGCTACATACATAAAGTATTCAGCATACATACATATCTAGCTAGTACGGTTACACGATAAAATTGTAGGTCAACATTTTGAGATGAAAGCTTAATGCAGTTTGCATTTTTAATTGCAGTTTCTAAATACTTGCAACTGCATAGCGGTGATATATATTTTATTAGAGAAAGCAAATTAATAAAAGGTAACGGAAAGAAGTACTCAATTTTTGCTTTCTTTTTAAAAGAGCCGTTCTGTTAACTGGTTAGTTAAAATTATATAAATCTAGAGATTACGGTTCGTATCGAGATTAACTCTTAATTTATTAATGTACGATAAGAATTTTGCCTTACTTTGAATTTATTGAAAAAGCAGTGCAAAGAAAGTTATAACGGGAAATGTGAGATTTTGTTCAAAACCTTGTTTTTATACGCAGCGTGTGTTTTTCCCTACCGGACAGCCGCAACCTGTCTCAACAAGCGCTTCAACGCCTCAAACAGTCAAAGATTGTCCTACGACAGACAAACAGCACATAAAACTACACAAACTGTTAAATTTCTCTAATAGATTTTAAACTTTATCATTTTATAATACGACCTAGTGTCCTATGACAATTTAGTGTAGTTTGATGTGCTGTGGTAATTGGAATGTTAGTACTTTAGCAGTGTATTGTATACACGTTAGATGAAAGATGATAGCACACGAGATAACAATGATATGGAGGTGGAATGTGTAATATACTCAGTTCTATGTCAAAGTTCACAGTCTTAGGTGATAAAGATGAGTTATCTGTGATACGAGATCTGTGTGATAAGGAAACTAGGACTCCCGAGACCTGTGTCATATGGACCCTGTGACTCTGTAAACCTGTGTGAAACGATATGCATGTTTGAGTCTACAATGAGTATAAATTTCTGCAATATATTTATTCGAAAATGATTAGCAATATTTTGTGAAATTAATGAAAGTTAGCTTCGATCGTGATGATGTTGAAAATTTTATTATTTTTATGAGTTTGCAATGTTTTATGATTTACGATTTTACGACTTAATGGAGTTGAATAGAGAAAGATGACGATAAAAATTGTAGATATTGTGTTAATAATATTGCCTTCAAAGAACACATCGTAGCTCATTTCTTGAAAATGATCCCCTGATCCAAGTAGTTGATAATATAACATGAAGATAATAAAATTCTTCAGTCTCACGTGATCCAGTAATAAATCATTACAATCTACGACTGCGGTGTAATTGGTTCTCAGTCCGAATCACGCGGCCCTTAGCCTCGCTTATTTACAGGTAAATGCCCCAAATACGTGTGCCGATGCCGTAACAATAATTATAAACTGCCAACGAATAGCAATCTTACGCAACAACGGATCGGTATTATTAGTACGAATTTGATTTTTTATCCGTCCGCTTCCCGGACGCGTCGAGTTCCGTTCGCGTGCGCAGCCGCATCTAGCGTTCAGCATAAAATATAAGTATCCAATTGCGACTTGTGATTGGCCGTTATATTCCACCAATAAAAATTATCCGTTCGTTCTTTTTTTAATTATTTCTTTTTTTGTAATTAATTTTGTTAATGGCGGTGGTTGAATGCTAAGTGCTGAAGATCGAACTCAGTACAGTTGGCTCATGACCAGCATTGGACGGCTACTGGCTGACTATGATTAACGGGATTCATTTCCTTGAAATTTAAGCTTCTGACGACAATATGATGTTCTTGTATGACAATGAGTATATGGAGGTGCACCGTCTCTCCTCCTGTTGATTTTCGCTTACCTAATACGTAGTTAAATCAAATGATGATACTTGAATGATTGCTTTGTGATGATGTGAAAGTTTGGCTGTGTGATATGGTTTATGTAATGTGAAGTAGTTTGAAAATGATATTAACAATATGGTATTATTGAGCGATCTAAAACTAAGTTAAATGCAGGTGAAATAAGAATGATAGGTAGCTATGATGCGCAAACATTTTTGATTCCAATTAATTTGTAATGATTCGATCCGAATTGTATGAAAAATGAAATGTTTAGTGACAAAATGGATTAATGATTACTTCGGCAATAACATTAAAAACCTTTGCAAGTTGTTTTATATAACTTTTGGTCCCAATATTTATAAAATACGAATAAACATCTATTTGAAGCAATGAAAATATATGATTAAAGTATTACATAAGTCGCAAAGATTTTTATTTATTTACATAATGTGACTGATGTGTTATTGAGGTATGTTATGTTATTAATACTTGTTTCTTCAAGTAGAAAGTTAATCCAGAGAGCCAAGAAGTGGCGCGAAGATAATAAATAACTAGTAGCAGCGATATCAAACTAAACCTTACTCATAAACTATGTTGCCAACCAAATAATTAATGATCCTACGACACATACATTTTAAAAGAGTATTTTATACAAAGTTTATAAGTACAAAAGGTTTATACTTGGCAGTATCGTGTTAGCCTCATGAGCTTTGTCATTTCTCTTCCTTAAATTAATTAAGTACTTATTTATACATTTATAAGAAAAAAAAACTAATTAAAATTTCTGACTAACAATAGGTAATCGGAGTAACCATTCACATACAAAATTAAATAAAAATGTTTCTACATTACAAAGTTATATTTCGTTCATGTTTTGACCGATCGTCAGGCGCTGCTTCAGAGCGCGTGTTACGTAGCTTGTTGCAAGACATACATACATACTGGACGGCAACACATAACCGAAATAATAGGAGACTACTACACTAATGAGACGGATAGCTCAGAAAACAAGTAAAGAGCGGAGCGGGAAACTTCAAGTACTTACAAACTAATCATATAATACAGAAAATATAAATTGCTTAAAACTAGTTAACATTGCACTTGTCCTTAGGAATGTTATACTAATGGGTTAATTAATTACTCGTGATACCACGTAACTACGTTAGGAGACAAGCAAAGTCGCGCGCCTGGCGACACCCGTCTACGAGGACCGCCATAGTTCCATGTGGGGCGCGGCTCGCCGTCCCTAACGAAATAAATTTACAATAGCCTACATGAGATTCAGCGCGCACTGCGGCACCACGCTCACTGACACTAGAGTCACAGACACACTATATTACAAACTACAAAATGCTTCGTCTTGAGCTACAACCTACACGTGTGCTAGTCCCTGCCGATCCTCTTGTGGATCTGTTGGTGCTTGATGAGGTGCGCCTTCTGCCGGAACGCCTTCGCGCACACGTCACATCGGAACGGTTTCTCCCCCGTGTGTGTTCGCAGATGTACTTTTATGTTGGACTTGTTCAGAAACCCTCTATTGCATATCCCGCACCGGTGCACCGGCTTCTCCTTGCCCAGCAGCCCGCTCAGCTCTGCCGCGGTCGCTGACGGGAACGCGAGTGAGCTCCCGTGCATGTTGCCACTATTCGCCTGTTTCGCCTTAGCTCGACTCCTCTTGCTTTTACTTGCTGGCGTAGAAGTAGTAGTGTGAGCATGCGGGTAGCCTAAAAGTCTTTCTGGACTGCAAAGGCCGTCTGGTTTGAGACCGAGCGCATAATGTGGTGCGTATCGGCCGTTTAGTAACCCACCAACACCATCAGTCGTAGAGACAGCATTGCCGGGCGGAGATGATGTTGATATCACGTCCATTCCGTAACTTGTGGAGCTCGGCGCCTCCTGTTTCACCGGGGGGCCATTTTGCAGCCGATTTTGTAGCAGTGGCATGTAGCCATGTGTCAACAAAGACTGCAATGTCGATCCAGCTTGTCCTAAATTCTTCTGAAGAAACTCAGTACTTTTTGAAAATTCCTGATTTTTGCAAGGGTAATCAAGACTGGAATGATGGTTTTGACCAGAAGGTGGTGAATTAGGCAAACCAAACTCAGCAAGATCTTGTTGCACTATTTTGTCACCAGGTTGTGTGCACGCGCCAGAGATCCAAGCATCGATGTCCATCCAACTGTCCCTGGAATCATTTCTCTCAGGGTCCTCTGGTTGCGAAGGTACAGTCGTGTCGGCGATAGCTGAGCCAATGATCGCTGCGATATCTTCAATTGAGCTGATATCGTACATGTCCTGCTTGTGCCCATCCTCAAAAAGCTTAGCGGGTGGGGAGCACGAGGCGGCGCAGGAATCCGCAGCGGAGGTGTCAGCGAAGGGCTTGGTGTCTGGCGCATCGAGGAATGGCTTGACGTCCTCTAAGTCAGGGGGCTCTGCGTCAGCTGCGCAGGTAGACGAGGATACGACATCATGGTCGGCGCCATAGCCGCTCTGCGTCGGATAATTGTTGTTTTCTTCTGGAAGACGTTGCGCGATAGCGTGGTAGTGGTGTCCAGAGATGCCGTTGATAGATAAGTGGCCGGTGTAGCCAGTAAAGGGAGGGAGAGGCTTCAGTTCTGCAAGGGGTGTAGGGGCCAGGAGAGAATCGAGAAGTTCGTGGCAGGTGGGCGGGGGGGAAGAGTTATCGAGCTTGGGGTCCAGCCAGCAGCTGCCGAGCAACAGCTCGTCGCCGCTGGCGCCCGCCACGCCGGCGCACTTCATGCCGCGTCTCACCGCGACGCCGGAGCCCAGTGAGAGCCCTCCACCGCCATACTTGGACGCCGCCACCCTGCTGCTGCGCTATCTGAAACAAAAGAGAACGTTAATTAATATGGTTGCTTTTAAATACACAAACAATGTCTATATTTATCCTATTACTGTAGTATTGAACAAAAGAAGTATATATCCTGCAGGTAGACTAAACACAGTTTGCCAGTACAGGCGAGTATTAGTATGAACTAGTACGCAATCAGAGATGCAGGCGGCAGGCGGTAATCGCGCACGATACGCCTCAATAGGTAACAGTGCTGCGGCCCACAGTCGCTCCTCATTTATTTCTGAACATTTTTGTTCTGTTTTTAATATAAACAAAGGCGTTTTTAGGCTTTGTGGGGCAAACGGTATTATTAGTGGAAGCCGGAAAACTGTCAGTTGACATTTTGGTACATTTATAAATTGTGTCAACCAATTGTTTTGATCGCATAGACAAAATGTAACAAAGACGTTGAGCACCCGTTGAAATTAGATTTAAAAAGTTTTTGATAAAAAAATATATGTAAAAATGTCTTTTGATCTGTTTAAACATCATTTTGATATGCGTTGTAAACTAAACAACAAGAAAAAGTTTGGTCAATGAAATTGAATACATATTTGCGTGATCTGATTTATCATATGATAAAACTAGCAAAAACCTCTACTATATAATCCTACAGCTCTGTCCTGAAAACAGCTACAAACATCTTTCTAGTATTTCTGTTTAGAATCTTCTTGAATGCATTTTCTCTCGTGATTAGTTTGAAAGGAAGCTACCAGCTCGCATTTGATACACTTGCAACATGAATGCATGCTGATACAAGTCGTAGATAGCGCCATGCAGGCAGGCACCGATCCGCCACAATTATTGGACGCAGCCTCGATTCCTAACCGTGTTCGAGACACGTTACTATGCTAGCGAATGCCGCTAACGAAACCAAACGAGTACTCGATTAACATTGCTTATTATATGTATTTGCCCACATCATTAGATTTTGATAATCTTTTTTTTTAAAGTAATTCATTAGCTGAATTCGAATTCATCAACTGAACTGAGGTTTTTGGGCATTTGTCTATTTTAAATGTCTTAATGTATTTATTTTCAACCTAATTATAATTATATTGATCCAAAAGTTTTATATAGTATTTAGAGATTGTTATGTAATATTATATTGATTAAACATCATTGCAATAACGGTGAACGATATGCTTTAATTAAACGTTTATTTAAAACAAAAAAAGACACGGTGTGTTTTACACTAAAAAAAAATTAACTGTCTGTAGAAACAGACATTCGGACCGGCCGAAATAACACGTGACTAAAATAATTCCGTTAATTTTTGTTTATAATTTTTTTCTGCAAACATTATGAAACTACATCCAATATCCTTTCCATTAAGATGCACATAAAAACTATTCTCTATTGAACTATTGCTCCATCGCCACGAATGGCTGGAGCATTCCAATGTCAAAAGTTCAGTTCGTTCACCCTGCAATGTGAAAAATTTGGTCAATGCGAGCGCCCGCCGGGCAAAAACCGCCGCAAATACAATAAGTTCAAATCAATTAACTCTACCATTCACGTTATATCGAGCATTTCCTCACAGAGGTACACATTTCTTAACCTAAAAACTGTAATTTGGTTCTTAACAAGTATTTTCATAACGTTTAGTTTGGAACTGACAAAAACTGAACTTATGACAACACGCACAGTTGGCTAATGTCTGCACGCAACGAGTTGCAATAGTCTCTTGGAAAAAATACTATTAAAATATAGATTTGTCTCGGCTGCCAAGTACGCGGCCTTGATTGAGTTTTTCGCAAAATACTGTTGTAGTGTGGATAAAAGGCTATTGCACGCCACCGGCCGTGGCGATCGCTGTCGCAACCTGCTGCAGAAAAAATGAATTACCAAGACACCCGATTGCATACTGAACGTGACTTTAATAGTGGCCAACAATAGTGTCTAAGATTTTTAATTTGTCGTAATATTTTAGCACTGGGTTACAGAACTATACTCAATCGAGGACCTAAGACAGGTAATTGTTAGATATTGTGAAAAAATTATTTACATTTTATCTTATTATAGCAAAGTTTCTTCCAAAAGGGTGCAATTTCAACTTCTTATAAAGTCTTATTGTTAACTGGAGCTAGCACCAGCACTATTATAATTCACACAAAGATCGTGAATAAGATGGTCCTCTTCAACTCACATAAGAAAATACTCATTCTAATTAATATTTTTAATGTATAATACGCCTTCTATGTTTTTTTTTTATAAAATATTGCAGTTCATTTAAGTTTATTGTGTGCAAGCAAGAGGTGCGCGTGCGCAGGACAAGGGTGTAGGAAGCGCGTTCGGAAATTAACGTTATGTTAAAAAACTTGGTAATATATAAATAGGAAAAATATGTTGTTTTTTTTAATAATGAGATTTATTATGCTAGCTAACTAGCCTGTTATATTCTGAAGTTGAAATGCCGCTTATAATTCCTTCAGTGTTTTCAGTGACCTAACGTATCTATTAAAACTGAAAATCAACAAATAGCTTAAAGAACTTTACAACAGTTAATTTGTGTTAATCTTAATATTCTTTCCGAACACATCAGTATCAAGAAAACATACCTACTTAAGTGTGTAATATTGTATTTAATTCAAACCCCAGGCGAAAACCGGCGTTCGCGCACCTATTCTTTTACTATTGTGTCTAGAGTCACCGCGATTGAAAAGTTAATTATATTATTTTTTAATTAATAATTATGTCAAAGACACTAGACTAATCACAAAATCTTTTTATTTTAAATTTAACGGTTACGTTTCCTAAAATATACCACGTGTTACCACTATTGTTTTGATACTCGCTACAACGATAATAGATTAAAGATGTCGCCTATAATATTGCCGCCAACAAATAGACAGAGAGCGTTTGTACTAGAAATTGTCGCTGAATCTATCATCGATATCAAATCGATCATCTTACAACAAAACAAATTGTAAGGTTGATTTAGCAAAAGGAGCGTAAAGCATTCGTCACCCATCGACACCGTGGCATCTCCGACATTCACGAATACTTAAAATGATTTGAGACATCTCGCGTCCCAATTCCGTAGAAATTGTCACAGTTCCATAGATTATCCGCTCCGATGGACCGACCGAGTGAAAGTAGATACACATCACTTTTATAAATCAAAATGATCTTTAAAATATCGGTTATATTTCACTCGGAGCTAAGAAAGTATGACGTTATGGATTTTCTATAATTTTCTGATCAATTCTAGTGGAGTTAGCAGTTTGTTGAGGAAAGTGGAGGCTGCCTTTTGTTTTAAAGGATTTGTTGTATCTTTGAGACATCTTGTATACTCATTGTTAAGGTTTTAATTAAAGGTACTGGTTGCTCATTTAGATTGAGAGTATAATCATCTATTTCTTACATTACCTAACTACAATCCTAATTTACTTTTAAATCAAAAGTCTATTTTTGTTATTGAATTTTTTGATCCTCATCATATATTTTTTGGGGATATTATTTATTTTGTGTGCAAATTACATTATTCGTGTCCTTATCGAGTCGGTTTAAAAAGCTAAAACTGGAATCGTACTATAAAGAAGTATTGTATATAGGAGCTGCAGTGCCTCTATTGTATTTGTTTGTTTACCAAATTATCAGTCTAATACTGATAATTTGGTTCGCCAATTATCAGTTGCCAATCGAAATTAAGTTTAAGTGAACAGCGTTAAAGGATCTTTCGCTTTATCTCTGTTTATCGATATCATATTAGTTCTTTTATAGGCCAATACCAGTATAAAGCTTAAGATGATGCTAATCCTAATCCGTTGCAAGTTCCAACCGCGCGGAGCTTAGTGATGGCGAGTTAACATAAAGCACGCGTCACACTAACCGACTAACGCACGCCCCACCACGGCTACAAGCGGATTCTTAAAAAAAATCGTATCACGAAATTAATTTTTAGGCCAACCTACACGAGGCGCCCGCATCGAAAATTTGTCGCGCACAGAAAGAGACAAAACATACGCTATAAACGAGAGTGAAAGAAACGGGTGTAAGCGAAACAGGGCCGCCTAACGGTACACACACGGAAGTATGTCAGTGGCGTAAACACTACTTTATTATACACAGGTCGTAACCAACAACAGTTGATCATTCAAAACACAACCTTGACCGGAGGTAGTAAAGTCGGAATTTGGGTAGCAAGCGTACTGGTTTTCGATTTTCACGGTGCTGATTCACGACAATAGAGCTATGTCCGTTTCTGTTTGATGATTACTTACGAGAATCCAGTTTTTAAACCTACCTCAAGGCTAGACTCGTGGTTGGTCTATTGATGGCCTATAGGCAGGCGATATTGGTTGGAGAATCTGACGAAGAAAGTTACCGTGCGCTCGAAATCGATCAAATTAGCGATATGATATAATTTATTTACCAATGTACATTATATTGTCAATCATGTGCATTTACAGTGATGTATAGCATCATCATGTGCATATATAGGTACCAGTATCCGATCCTTAAAAAATACTTGTTACATTTTACACACAGTAGTTATACTTCGGTCACCATCACGACCTGACCTAAGACTCAATCCATACTCGCGTATGTTAACTGTTATCGCTCTATACTCAATTCATTTTGTCTGCGATTAGATCTCCTTCGTAGTAACACAATAGACTCGAGCACATTATCGATATTGCTCTGATATCGATACCGTTTGTGGTTATACCTAATATCGATACTGAGATATACTAGAATTTATACCTATACTATTAACTCGTCAAGCGAATTACAATAGAGAAAATAATACAGTAACAAATTTAAAAACATATTGAAATATCTTAAGAAAATTACACCAGACAATAATATTTATTATTCAAACATATTTTAACTTGAAAGCAATAAAATAAACCTCAGTACCTTATTAAAAAAAATACCAATTTGCATAGGCCAAGCATTTATTATTTTAACTGTACTTTTGTGAATTGTTTCCTAGTAAAATAAAAGTGGTACTGTCGGCGTGTTTGATCCCTGTATC